TACACATTTAATAATAGTATAGATATATAAAATAGTAACCACCACAAGAACAATAGTTATAGATTCAATGTAGAATTATGTTAAACTTCCATGTATAATTATGGATTCGATGCTCATAACGAGGACATGCTTGTAGCCAATTGACCAAAGTCCCAAGGAAGCAAAAGAAAAAGAAATATATAATAATAATGACAATGACAAAGAGGAATTACATAATCAGTTAGAGAGCCCATGAGCTGCTAATAAACTGAGGTTGAACTGTCGTGGTTAGGACAAATTTGATTTTCAACTCCTTTAAATTTATAGCTAATTAATTTGAAACATAACTCTAACATCAATCACTAGGATAATGTGCCGAGGAGGATGATGAGGTTTCACATGCACTTGAATGAAATACCAAACTCAATGCTTATGCACATGACTCATGAGCTTACAACAATCCAAAAGGTGGTTAGGCTTGTGAACCTCCTCTTACAAGTTTTTAGTACAACCTAACGGAAAGAATTTTGGTCCAACGTAAACAAGTTAGTTATTGGAACAATATACCTACTATAAAAAAAAGTTCATATTCCCTGTATTGTAAAAATTTATGCAAATTCTCCCTGGTCTATAATTTTGACCAAAATTTTTCTAAAATTCTAAAATACCCTTAAGGTTATTTTAGGTATTTTTTTTCTAAGAGTAAAAATAAAAACTAAAAATATAAATAAATAAAATCTGGGGTTTTTATAAAAATGCCTTATTTTTATTTATTTATTTTTTAAAATTTTTGTCATTAATTTTTATTATTATATTTATTTCTTTCTTTTTAAGAGAATTTTAGGTATTTCAGTCTTCAAATTAAAGAATTATTCTTATTTGCTCAAATTGACAAAATGTAGAGGGTGTTTTGAATACCGGAAGAATAATTGCACATTTTGTATATAGTAGGGGTAATTTGCACTTTACCTAATAATATAACACATAAGCCCATGTAAAAACATTACTATTGTCAAAATTAAGACTCCAACTAGAAATAACACATATTCACTTTAAAGATCCAAGTTAAAAGCCCATTAAAAAGAAAAAAATCCTAATCTAATTTCAAATCTACTGACCACATTTTGCTCCGCCCTTTTCAATGTATTGGGCGTATTTTGTAAAGGATGATCCCCTAGTAGCCCCGTTCTTGCCCTTGTCATCAGAAATAGTAGTGTTTTCTTTGTCATAATATGAAAAGAAGAATTATCATTTTTCTTGTCAAATTGTTCGGTTTGGTTTTAAATTTTTTGAAATTATTAAAATTAATTTGACTAAATTTTTTTTTCAAATCTGTCCAAATCGAACAGTGGATCTTTAAAAAATAATACTATTTTCCTTGTCATAATAGAAAAAGAAGGGCGGCCATATTTGTCATAATAGAAAAGAATTCTTCCTAAATATTAAATATTTTAAAAATTGTTTAAAAGAATTGCGTATTCTTCACGAGCTATCCGGTTATTATATAGCCGTTAGTTTGTTTAAAAGAATTGCTTATTACTCAGGAGCAGCTAGGTTTTATCCCCACAACCACCGCCCCTTTTATAAAAGAGTTCGGAACCCTAATCTCTCTCCAGAACTCACCGATTTCTCTGGCTAGTAAAAAGTTTTGTGCAATTTGTTTTTGAGTGTGTGTTGATTATTGAAGACTCAATTGCGTATTCTTGACGAGTGTTTTCTCCCTACCACCGCCCCTTTTATAAAAGAGTTCTAAACCCTAATCCCATTCCAGAACTCACCGATTTCTCTTGCTAGTAATAAGTTTTGTTGATTATTGAAGATTCAATTGCGTAATTGCGTATTCTTCACGATTGTTTTCTCCCTACCACCGCCCCTTTTATAAAAGAGTTCTGAACCCTAATTCCTTTCCAGAACTCACCAATCCCTTTCCAGAACGATCGATTCTCTTGCTAGTAGTAAATTTTGTGCAATTTGTGTGTGTATTGATTGAAGATGGTATATCGAAGGAGTCAAGAATGGTACACACAGCGCGGTCTCTGTGATGGATTGCTATTGCCATTCGCACCATCTGATATGATTTCCTTGAATGTAACTGTACATAATTATACATACAACAGTGGTATGGTGGAAGTCAATCGCTCTACCAACACCTATTGGTACCCTGTGCCGGCTTCTTTGCTAGAATTTGACGACTTGTCACGCAGATTCTTCAATCACTACGTGTTCCGCAAGGGAGTCACCGTGGATGACCGGATGTGCGATGACATCCTCGCTTTCTCGCGCCGCATGCACCGGGAAAGAAGTCATATTCCCGAGACCGCCACACCCATAGCTATACTTAACGTAGTAATCAAGACATGGCCGTCCTTCCGTGGAAGCTCTGATGATGATCCTATGGAGATAGACGAGGTTGAATCCAATATTCATGATGATTTGCCACTGATTCAGTTTCTACGAGCGGCCCTGGATCGGGCTACCAATGGGTCAATGGATCGGGCTATACAGGACGACTATGTCGCGTTGAAGCTGGTACCCGCAACTCAATCATCCATCGACGCCTTGGAGAAGACCACATTCTATCGCTCTTGCACCATTTGTCTGGAAGAGTTCTCGGATGAACAGTCCATCACTCGCATGCCCTGCTCTCACGTCTTTCATGGAGATTGCATTACAAAGTGGCTTAACACATCCCACTCTTGTCCACTTTGCCGTTTCAAGATGCCAACAACTTCTTCATGTACCTAGGTTGTATTTTTCTATGTTCATGCTTTGTTATATCAATCGATTTGTATGCAATGAATTTGTTTTGGTATATAATGATGATGATGGTGGTGGTCTGTTTAGGCACTTTTGGTATTTCTTATGTTGTTTTTTTGTGATAATGGTAAAATTGTTTGTTCAAATGTCAGAACTGATTTTAAGAACAATGAACAATTTACATTGTTTGTTAACCTTAACTTTTTTACAAAAAAAAAAAAAAAAAATCAAACGCAATAATTCCTTGAGAACCTACCTGTATAATTTGTCAAACACAAAACTGTAATATACTCTTTCATCAAAAAAGAGGCTAATATGAAACCAACTACAACAATATACACACATGTATATATAATAGTAACCACCACCACAACAACAGTTACAGATAAAATGTAGAATTATGTTAAACTTTCATGTATAATTATGGATTCAATACTCATAATCAGTACATGCTTATAGCCAATTGACCAGAGTCCCCAAGGAAGCAAAAGAAAAAAATAAAAAAATAATAATAATATTAATAATAACATTGACAAAAATGACAACAACAATGACAAAGAAGAATTACATAATCAGCTAGAGAGCCCATGAGCTGCTAATAAACTGAGCTTGAACTGTCGTGGTTAGGACAAACTTGATTTTCAACACCTTTAATTTAACTGAACAGAGCTCAACAAGCTAATCCTTGACACAACATGGTTCATTTGCATCCAAAGCTAAAACATTAAAGGGAATCCCTCAGATTTGGGTTTGCAAACTGAGGTCCAGGAGCCTTGCGCCAGTTCACTACAACAAAATATACCTATAATGACAAAAGTTTAGCAGCATTTATTAAATGCTGCCATTTAACAATTTCTAATAAGTGAGCACGTGATTGCCGTGCACATTCTTTCTTTATTTTTTATTTTTTCATTTCGCTCCTCACTATTTTTTTTGGGCAAGTGAAACGAAATTCGCTCGGTCTCTTCTCACCTCACTCCCTCAGTACCAAAATCAAACTGAAATCCTAGGAATGAGATTCTCTCACGAGCAGAGTTTCTTCTCTCCGTTACGAAGATTTTCAATTAAATCTTCATTTACATTTAGGGGAGAAATCAAAACTGAGCCCTAGGAGTGACATTCTCTCACACAATCTGAGCAGGAAAAACTCTCCTCAACAGCTTCATTTACATTTCACAGAGAAATCGAAACCAAACCAAGCTGAGTTCGTTAATCAGTCTGTTCTATTTGATTTTGGAGCTAAATCGATGTCCAATTCGTCCAAAATTGCCAACGATCAGCATTATATTCATGTTCGTCCACTCACAGGTAAATTCTATCAGATTCGCTTCATTTTTGTCAGAATTCATCTTTAATTGGAGATTGATGTTATTATTGTATGAAACCCTAGCTTTCTAAGAGTCTGAAAATGGTTTTAGAACTTGTTTACATTTGCAAAATTATGATGAATTCGATCTTGTTTATTGCTGAGACTTTTTGTGCTTGTGTTAAATGTCAGTTGTCTACTTTCTTACTAGTTTTTTCTCTAGCATTATTTATTTTCATTAAATCATTGAATGAACCTCTGAAAAATGTGTATTTTTCTGTACTGTGCCAGGATTAATTCCACATCAGCTTGAATTATTAGGCTACATTGGTGATAATGATACCTTTATCAAGTTCTAAATCAAATTTAATGTTTGGGTCAAATCGTTAGCCATCAAGGCAACTTTTGATACATAATTTGTCATAAATGTGATTTAATCATTTTCTTTTTTTATTTCATTTTCCATGTTATTTCTGATTTGCTTTTTTATTCTAAAATTCAAATTAACAATTCATAATTTGTTTGGTTTTGACATATAATGTGATTTTTGTTTCCATGATGGGTTTGATTGTGGTGTAAAATCATGCACCTTTTTGTTTCCATGTTGTGTAAGATATTAATATTGTTAATGTTATTGGTTTGATAAAATGAAAACAGATCAATTGCTGCTTGTTTTCCAAAATTGTTCCTTTAATTACTAGCCAATGAGCCCTGGCTCTGTTGGTGCAACAATGTCTTGTGGGGATTTACGTTCTCTGAGCTTGTCAATGAGCCCTGGCTCTCAGTCAAGTTGTGTCACAACTTCAAGGCAGGTCTCACCTCCTGGAGCTGAATGTATGGCCATGGAAACAAAGAAAAGAGGGTCTTCAAAAGTGGCTCAAAAGCAACTTATTCATAGGAAGTCCATTGACACGTTTGGGCAAAGAACATCACAGTGTAGAGGTGTTAAAAGGTTAGTTCATGCCTAATTCTATAACCCCCTTTTTATATTTATTTTTTTATTTTACTTCCTTGGTCTCATAGATGGTGTATGTTTATACCTCCCTCAGACATAGATGGACTGGTAGATATGAAGCTCATATATGGGACTATAGTTGCAAGAAGAAAGGAAGCCAAGGTTAGTCAATAAAAATAGATTTTTACACTATCTTATTTGGAAGTATTGCTTTTGGAGTGGCTTGTTTTATTTGACTGTTGCTTGCTAATTCTTAATTGTTATGCTCATACTTGTTCAGGACTCTATTCCTATCAAATGACGTAATTTCTTCAGTTTCAATAACCAACATTTATGAATTATGTATGAATGACCATGTTCATGTGTTCACTTAATTAATCACTCTAACATATGGATTTCAGAAAGGTTATGAATCTATGATATGGAATAGAAACCTGCAAGAGCCTATAATCTTGCTGCTCTTAAGTATTGGGGACCTTCAATCCAAATTAACTTCTCGGTATGATTCGATTTGATTCAATCCCACTAGGCCACAGGCCTTCGTGCTCTATTAGTCTGTTGATGCTTCTCAGATCGACTAAAACATAATGTTTATGCTGCTTTGAACAGCTGAAAAATTACCAGCAAGAACTCGAGGAAATGCAGAACACAAGCCGTCAAGAATTTGTTGCTCACTCGAGAAGGTAAAACTGTTGACAAATCCTTCTACAATTGTGACTATGCTTAAAAAATTTATAAGACTAATGTTAACATTTTCCCCTTTTTTCATTTTCTAGGAAAGGTAGTGGTTTTTCTAGGGGGGCTTCGATATACCGAGGAGTGACAAGTTTCTATTAAAAATCATTTTCTATTAGATCATTTATAACCGCTGAATATATATATAGGCATCATCAGCATGGAAGATGGCAAGCTCAGATGGGCCGCGTAGGAGGAAACAAGGACCTTTATCTTGGGACATTCAGTTAGTATCTTACACTCTTCAATAATTTTAAAATGTATTTCATTAATGAGTGCATTTGATAATTTAGTTTGTAAATCCTATATTCATGATAAAATGAACAAGTATTAAGAGTATAAAGTTGTCTAGTTGTCTCTTCTAGGCTCTTGGTGTGCTTTAAGAATTTGGGAAGTTTTTTAAATTTTTTTAAATGTCATTCTCTGCTCTCATGCTTCTTTTTCTTGAGCCACTAGTGTTGCTTTTATTGCGCTAATGATCAGTTGGTGATTTTCTGTAACACTGGACCTTTTTCCAAGGCTGTTTCTTTCAGTTAAAGATGATAAAGGCAAACAAAAGCAATTTGTGGATAAAATGGTTGATTAAAAGAGTAAATATTTTTAAGAACTGCATCTTTTTGGCTAAGATCTAAATATTGTAATTTTTGTGTAAGATCATATGGTGGTGTTTGAGGTGTTGGAGGATGACTCGAAGTTCACATAGAATGTGGTTTTGGAAGGGTTTTGAAGGAGTATTTACGGTGATAGATGTGTATAAGGGGAAGGGATGCTTTAAGGGGACGGAAGGGTGGTTCTTGGTGGGCATTCCATGGGTGCAATCATGTCTTTCTGGTGTGACCGCAGTTACTAAGCTTATGGCAGAAATGAAGTTAGGGTTAAGAAGTAGTAATCGCGGTGAGAAGATGGTGATAGAGAAGTTGAGTGTGGGTGCTTTGACTGTCATGGGTTGGAGATATGCAAGCATGGATGATGTCATTAGATACTTGCAGCATTTTCTTTTTTAATTACTGTATATAACTGTTGGATCTCAGAATTTGTTGCAGCGGGACACCTATTGGCTCATTCTGTTACTTTTGTGTTTTGATTGTTTCCTCCTTCTTTTCTTCTATTTGGGACTTATTTGATGCATAATTGTTGCTTGTACAGGTTGCTCGTAGAGAAGGATGATACTTGGAGGATACATATGGAGTCTCTTCTTCTTCTTTTATTTATTTTTTATTTTTTATTTTTTTTTACGATTTGATGAGACATTAAAAATTCTTTTATATTCCTTGTTATTGAGACGTAGTTACGCTAATAAATGCATTGTAATTCCTTTTTTTTAACTTGACTTTGTTGTGAATTGGGTTTATTTGATTAGTAAATTTGGTTAATGAATGGATTGACCTTGATTATAAGAACTTGAATTTTCCTTAAATTTGCTTCATTTATATATATTGTTAGAACATTTTTAAAAAAGAGTGTCATTTTTCGAAGCATTTATATTTGCTGCCATATATTTTTCATATATGGCAGCAGATACAATTGCTACCATGCCTATAGCGACACAGGTTATGACAGCAAATACAAATGCTGCCTATAAATGCTGCCAAGTAGCTACGGCAGCACCTTTTTTTTTTTTACTTCAAACAGCAAATAAAATTGCTGTTAGAGACCATAATTGTTGTAGTGGTTTTTTTAAGGTCAGGCCCAGTCCAAAGGAATCTTCTCAGCAAGGCATTGATATCCTTAATCACTTTCATTGGTAGAATAAAGATCTGACCAGTACAACTGTGTAGAAATGAGTACTGACTTGATAAGCACCAACCTACCTGCATAGGATAGACTTTTAGATGCCCAGTGATTAACTCTTGAAGTTATCTTATCCAACAAAACATTGCAGTCAGCTGCCTCTAGCCCAGTGGAAATGAGAGGGACTCCGAGCTACTTGATTAGTAATGTTCCAATGTCAACTCCTAGAAATGTGGACATTTTGATCTCATTTGAGTAGTCCATCCTGAGAAGAAGACTGAGCTTTTCAAGGGATTGATATTCAGTCCAGAGAAGTCTGAGAAGAGATCAAGTGCAGACTTAAGGGTGGATACTGAGGCAATGTCTCCATGGCATAGGAGCAATAGATCATCAGCAAATGACAGGTTAGTAATGCCAACATCTTTACATCTCCAGTGGTACTTGAAGGATGTGTTTTGTGTGACATATTTCTTGATGATGCAGGAAAGCACTTCCATTGATAGAACAAAGAGTGAAGGGGATAGCGGGTCGCCTTGTCTTAAGCCTCTGGTTCCATGGAAGTAGCCATGAAATGCACCATTGACTTGTTTGTTGATTTTATTGAATGGTTTTGGATGGTGAGATTATTATTCTTAAATATTTTCTTTACTTTATTTTACCCTCAAATGCTTTTCAGGACAGAAAAGGGCAACGGAAAACCGGAACATTTTGGAAACTCACCAAGAGACTGGTATAGAGGGTGGAGCTGCATGAACACATTGATCACTAAAGGATTGGTTGTTAAGTTGTCCGGCGAAGTATGCTCGTCATTTCTACTCATTATCCCCTTTTATGTCTCTGTGGAATTTAATTTATTCATATTTGCTTGATGGTAATTTTCCCTTTTTGGTTCTATTCTTCATTGTTTGTTTAAGCTTAATACCTGTGTCTTGATGCTTTGGCTTTAAAGTTAATCCAAAAAAGTAGTAAGAAGTAAAAGCATGCGATAAACGGCTATACACTGAATGGAAATGATGATTTGTTTCAGGACATTGACTTGCATTTCACTTCTACCTATATAGAGGATGTACTTATTTTGGAATATGGAATTGCAATTATTGTTGATCAATGTATTCCCAGAAAAATACTGCGTTCAGTTTATAGGTCCTAGTTCTTAGTTTCTTACTTGGATGATGAATTCCACAAATTTTGTAGGTTGTTTTTTTATCCTTGGGGTAAAAATATTATATTGAATTAAAATCATGGAAAACAATTTACTAGACTCATTATTAAAAATAAAACCTTTGAAATATGCATGCTTATAGGGGCAGAGTTATGTTGAGACCCCACCCCACCCCAATCACTACCGTTGAACCATTGATATTGCTTTTGCGTTTACATTGCTCCCACCACTATTGGTGCTCATGGTTATATTATAAACTCCACCACCATTACCTCGATCACTATTATTACCGCAGTTACAGAGGTCACCTTTATCTCCATACTCGAGACTACCGTCTTCAGTGCTGCCTCTTTCACTCTACTTCCATCATTAGCCTTTTATCAGCCTCCACATGACCACCATTGTTGTCTCCAATTCTACCACCTAGCTGCTGTGGCACTGCCAATACTTCAGTAGTTACTTATGCTAGCATTTTCACAACCCCCTCTATTGGTAATCCATGGTTGTTGAATTTAACCCACTACTTCAATCAGCATTGCTGATGCCCCCACCACCACAATCATTCAGTACTGCAACTGCAGCTGCTTTCACCTCCAGTTTCACCACTACTTCAGGCCTTATCTTTGAAATTAATTTGAATAGTTTGAGGCATCTTTAGATTGCGAATTATTTATCTATTTAGGTGGTTGAACATATGATTTTGCACCTTTACCATACTTATTTAGCTACAACTTCTGTCAGAAGCTGAATTTGGTTATGTTTGTGCAATTCGTTTTTTACATTTTGTTGTCCAACGAATCATTGTCATTATATGTTCTGATTTACTACCAGGTTGGCTTGTTATGTACTTTTACCAATCAATAATTTAGTGTTAGTATCTTTTTGATCGAAGGAACTTAGCTCAATTACGCAGATACAATTCTGTGCATGAACTCTGATATTATACAGGTACATGCGGACTCAAGAAGGACAGGAAGCAGCACATGAATGTCTCTTGAGCTCTGGTCTGCTTGCGCAGATTCGGCAAAAAAATGACCCTTCCATCTGGTGGTTTGATTGGGCAGAAAATATCAATTGACGTGCTGCCTGAATCATTTGATAGGGTATACAATGTTTTGGGTTATACGTATCATTTTTTTAGAGGATTTAAATATTAAAGTTACACCCTCTCCAATAGCTTAAGCTTTTAGAGTAGATGGTGGACAACATCATCGATAGTTTTCTGCTTTCCAAGTATTGTGATGTTATGTGCAAGATGAGAATTACTTGCCACTTTTATGTCTTCATTGCTATAGTAATTTCTGAAACTTCTATTTCTTAATTTATTACTTCTAGTGGATGTATATTCTTTTGAATGCTAGTAATTGGTTGCATCATTTTTTATTGTGTGATATCCCCATTTACTATTTCCCAGTTTATTACTTTTCCTTACTTTTTTCTTGTATTATAAACATTTGTTCTGTCTTGGGTGAAGTTGGTTAGAAATTCACGAAAAGCCTTTTTTTAATAGATACACAATCAGGCTCAAACTCAAAATATTAAACAGAGAGGGAAGGCCTAATACCTGTAAGCCAATAGGATTGAAAAAATTGTAGTAGATGTTAATCCTAACCGAAATACTTTTGTTTGGATAGCATTCGCTGGTTGCCGTTGTTATAGCTATTCCTTTTGGTAATGAAACTTTCTGCACCAATAAATTCAAATGGTTATAAAGAAATTTTTAATTTAGTTAAAAGTTTTATACCAATAATTTACCTAGTTGTCGCAACAAGTTCCTTCGGAAGTACTGGAACAGAGTTTTATAAGTAATGCTATGTGTTATATTTGAATTCTAGAAATAGCTCATGGTGCCATAAATTTCTTGAATATTTCTCAAGGCTCTTCCGTTTTTTAGTTCTCTTTGGACGATCTCTTGTATCTTATTCTGACAAAAAAAAACATAAAATGTTTTCTAGGATTTCTTAAGCTGAACCCAATCGGGTGTGAGATGATGCATGGTGGAGATGGATTTGGGTATAGAAATAATGCTGGGGAGACTATCTTTGACTTTGCAAGTGGATCAAATATAAGTTAAGTTGAAGCTGAACCCATTTCATGCGGACCTTTAGAAGTTGAATTGAAGTAGGTGTATTGATGGCAAGGGAGTATCAGATGCATTACTACATGCTTGGTTACAATCACTTCTGAAATTGACTCAGGATTATCTAGTTAATGTGACACTCACTCTTCCACTACATATAATGTGTGCGTAGATGTTTCATGTAATCTGTTGTAGCTGTTACTTCCAATCAGTCACTCTCTCTCCCCACATGAGATAAATTATTTTCTCTATTTTGTTATACCAAAGGATCATTATGTAGTGTGATCCTTGTTAATTTGGGGGGGGGGGGGGAGGAGATGCTGTTAGGGACATATTGGATTGACATTGATTTCACAAAGTGGCTACTCTCAGGATTAAACCCGTGTTCTGACACTTGCTGATTAGGATTAGTGCTCAGATACTGCCTTTCATTTTTCTTTTGTTGTTTTAAGTGAAAAATGAAAATTACCATACCAGAATATTCTTCTATTCAAATTTATCCTTATTATTATCGCGTTATTTTCTTCTCCTTCTTCATCTTGTCATCTAGGTAGCGTTGATCCCTTAATTCGGCTTCTTCTGAAGAGACAAATTAGGGTGTCAACTGCAAAGGTCTGGTAGATTTTAGGTGCAAAGCATGTGGATCTGAGTGAAGTATGTTGAATGCATGGTCAATTGAATATTAATGCACTTACAGTTTAAACAAATTTAAAATATGCCATACTATTAGTCAATTTGCATATGCTAAACTAAATATCACTCAAATATGCAATAATTAAGGGCTACAATGATATATATTTTAAATACACATAACTATATTATCATAATATTCATAATTAGGCTCTAGACATGTAATTTATTCAGTTAACCATAAGCCTGTCAATTACTGAATTCCGAATGTCAAATATTTGATATGATTAAATATCATTATGTGTCTCAGAAGATCTACAATTTAGAAATGTTAACTAATGGTCCTATATATAAAAAAGAAAATGGCGATGAATTATTAAAACATGAAGATGTGCTTCCACTGAGCTTGGAATTCAAAACTGTGTGGCTAAGAATTAACGGGCTGTATATGTTCAGGGACTAACTTGTCATACAATAAGGTGTCATTGCTAAGCCTTAATGGTCCTTGGTATTTTTTGGGCCTAATTGTGCCTTTAGCAACTATTATCATGCCTACACTTCTATCGCTATGCTATAATGTCTTGCAACATATTAGCCTTTTAATTAAGAATTGTCTGTTTATTTATTTATTTTTTCCTTCTTACCATCTAATTCAAATCTAGTGTTTGTAGTTTGTAAGTATAGGGTACTCCAAGGAACAAATTCTTCATGCTGTTTCTGAAGTTTCAGAAACATCCCAGAGCATGGATGTATCTTCACTCTGGCCGCTATTCTATGTCGCCTTCTAGAAGATCAAGTTTATGGTTCAACTTCTTTGGAGTCTCAGAAGACGCTAAGAGAGGGCTGTCTTTCAATATCAACCATCTGCAGTTGGTATTAAACTTCTTTTATTTTGAGAATGGATGAAACTAGGAATTCTTTTTTCTTTCCTTAATGACCTCTTAGTAAACTGATTTGTCAATGTCCAGGTCAAACAGATTCTGTTGTAAGTGGGAATGCTCAGATGGAATCTGCTCATTGTGGTGCATCTAGGTCTTCATTTTTTGTGGATTCTGCAAAGAGCTCTTTTACCTTGAGGGCATGCTCATCAGCTGTAAGTGTGCATTTAGTTGATTGAAAATTGTGTTACATTTTGCTTTGTAACATGTTTTGTTTGAGTGATTGAATCTTAGATGTGTATTATAATGTTACCTGGACATGTGGCACATCATTACTGGTTCAGGGCCCTCCCACATTTTCCAAGTTGCAGGACACATATACCGAAAATCTTTGTGATTGGACTTCTTCTATTTTCCTTTGCCCGACAATTCCTTGTGAGCTTTGGATTGATTAGGGATGCAATTTTGTAAGACTGTATGCTGAGATGTGATTAAATTCTTAATAATTCCTTGTATTTCTTCTTTCTGGATGTCATAGGATTATCCGCTGCATAAGCGAGGTTCAGATGGTTTGGAAGCCTACATAAATATTTTGACTATGCCACCTCTGGGATTTGGGGAGAGATTTGAGGATGCATATGAAGTTATTTTGGTATTGGATGATATGGAACAATTTGCTCATCAGGTGTCAGTAATTTCTGATTTTATATCATTAGCTTCCTCAGCAATGCAAACCATTACAAATTGGGGTAGTCAGATGACTTCATACCTCAAAGCATGTGATTTGTGAGATGTTGGAGAAGAGCCAAAGAATGGCATGTCCAACAAGTTTCGTGTGAAGAAAGAAGAGAAGGCATTGGTAATGTTGCAAAAGGCAATACATCAAGAAATTTGGGAGTATTTTGGAGAGTCCAAAACTCCAAGTTGTGTTTAGAAGATGTTCGAGACCATCGTTTCCAATTAGAGAGGTGAATCACTACCCATAAAGTATTGGGTGCAATGCTTTGAGGATGATGAGTTTATGAAAGCTGATTATGAAAGTCTTGAGGACAAATTTGTGGAGACTGAAGAGGCTTACAATGTAAATGAAGTCGAAGAATTTGGAGAACAACTTGAAATGGTGAATGAAGAAAAGGTAAGGAAAGGTGTTGAAGAAGAGATTGAAAAAGTGGAGGAGAATGAAATGGAAAGAGAAATTAAAGAAGAAGAAATTGCTAAAGAAGAGCAAAAAGTTGATGAAGTTGGTGAGTTAACACCTTCAGGTATGGTTACAAATTCCACCTTAAAAGAATTTATATCTCACTTATTTGATGAAATTATTATATCTACATATTCATCAAATAGTGCTTATTTTGTGGAGAATGGTAAACTTCTCTTGAAGAAAATTGTTCCAATTAAGTGTGGGATTGAAGCTTAAGGTGATGAGAATTTCTCGAATAGATTTTTGCAAAATGGTTTGAAGAATTTTGTAATTGACACAGGTTGAGTGAATATGGAGTTATTTTTTGACTCTAAAGTAGAAGCACGTGTGAAGTTTAAGAGGCATAAAAAATTCAAGAACAAAAAAAAGATGGGTGTATTTGTATAAAGAGGATGATATATGATCATGAGAAGGCATTATTCGTTTGAAGAAGTTTCACAAGCCTTACACATCAATGGAAATGGCTAAGAAAATTGTTGCAGTTGAAAGAGGTGGAATTCAAGACCAACTAATGAACTTTTGATGAAGCCCTCAAGATCAATAAGAAGATTTTTTCCAAAGTTACAAAATCAAGTTTAAAGGGGGGTATTGGAAAATAAACTTGATTTTGTTATTTAGTATTTTCAAGTATTTGGCATACAGTGTATGTGTGGATTTCATGTTAGCGGTTGTGGAAAATTCAATTCTATAAATAAGGAATCCATATGTGTATAGCTGTAATTAGCTAAGAGATTTTGTAAAGTTTTAGTCATTGTAATCCCCGATTTTAGGGAATCAATTTTTTGGTCAATTTCTCTATAGGATTAAATAGTTGCCTAGTTTTAGAGTTTCCTAATTTAGATCCTCTGAAGTGTATATATCAGTGTAATTTCATTGTGATTTCAATGCAATTGAATTTCAGCCCAATTTGTGTCATGGTATCAGAGCCGTAGGCTCAATTCTGGGAATTGTATTTCTGGTCTTGCGAACTCTTATATCGCTAGACTGATTATTATCAATCTCCAACCCCACACTATCACCCCTCAAGACCGTAACCCTTTTACCAAAAGACTATGTCAGAAACAACCGACAACAGCAACACCACGACTACCTTGGAGGTCCCTTTGACTGAAGGCAGCAACTCGACTCCAACAAGGGAATTGCAGAACGTCCAGGTAGCGTACAGGTTGAACGAGACGAACTATCTAAAATGGTCTCAACTGGTTCGCACGTTCTTGAAGGGAAGGGGCAAATTGAGTCACTTACTTGGTACTGGGCCTAACAAAGGCGATCCCAAATTTGATACTTGGGATGAACAAGACTCTATGGTGATGTCCTGGTTATGGAACTTTATGTTGCCATAAATCAGTGATACATGTATGTTTCTTAACATAGCCAAAGAAATATGGGAGGCTGTGAAGCAAACTTACTCTAAAATCCGGGATGCTACACAAATCTATAAAATCAAGACCAACATTTCATCCACCAAGCAAGGAAGTCAATCAATCACAGAGTACTCCAATCTGTTGCAGAGCTTATGGCAAGAGATGGATAATTACCAGTGTATTCAAATGAAATGTAGCGAGGATGCAGCCATCCTTAAGAGGTTTGTTGAAAAAGACCGAGTTTATGATTTTCTTGCAGAACTGAACATTGAATTTGATGTAGTAAGAGTCCAAATACTCTGAAAGGAAGATCTGCCATCACTTAATGAAACAATTGCAATTGTTCGTGCTGAGGAAGGAAGAAGAGGAGTTATGATTGAGAATAACCCAATGGACAGTTCAGCTTTGGTTACAAAAGCTACAAATGTGAGGAACTTTGGCCCGGAGCAGCCATCTAATGAAGACAACAAGCGGGCAGATTTTACAAGGCCAGTTAATAAGGATTCCCTATGGTGCACATATTGCAAAAAGTCCCACCATACTAGGGACAAATGCTGGAAACTCTACGGCAAACCGAAGATAGCAAACAAAAATTGGACGGCAAAAGGTGGACAGCCAAAGGGATAGGGCAGGTGTATATAGCAAATATACAACAGGCTGGAGAAGGTAAATCTCAAGAATCATCTATTGAGTTCAATAGAGAGGAAATTGAGAAATTGAAGAATCTGTTGGGATCTTTGGAGAAACCATCTACAACAAGTACTTGCACTTTGGCGTTCTCAGGTATATCTTCCTCTGCTCATGCTTTTAAAGTCTCAGATATATCCACCACAAGCTCCTGGGTCATTGACTAAAGAGCTACAGATCACATGACCCACTCCTCACAAAAATTTATCTCATGTACACCTTGTCCTAGCAATAGGAAGATGACAATAGCCGATGGTTCTGTCACAACATTGGCTGGTCAGGGAGATGTTTTATAAGCAAAATCTTCACACTTAGAAATGTTCTCCGTGTACCAAAATTATTTACCAACCTTTTGTCAATCCACAAGCTCACTAAAGATTCTAATTGCAGTGTGGTGTTTTATCCCTCTCGTTGTGTATTTCAGGAATAGGGCACGAGGAGGATGCTTGAAGAACCCAGTGGTTAAGTTAGTGTTGCGAATTCCTCACCATTATCATTTCTTTCAGGGTCTTTTAAATCCAATAAAGATAAGATTTGGCTTCAACACCTCTGTCTTGGTCACCCGTCATTTAGAGTCCTTAAAATTATGTTTCCTTTATTGTTCAAAGGATTAGATGTTGAAAAATTTCACTGTGATGTCTATGAACTTGCAAAGCACAAACGTGCTTCTTTTCCAATAAGCGATAAAAGAACATCTGTTCCATTTACTCTTAGTCATAGTGACATATGGGGACCGTCCACTGTTCCTAACATTTCTGGGGCTTGGTGGTTCGTTTCTTTCATTGATGATTGCACTTGTGTGTCTTGGATCTTTCTTATGAAAAATAAATGTGATATGAGCTCTGTCTTTCCTGTTTTTTACAACATGGTCAAAACACAATTTGGTACTGAAATAAAAAGATTTCGTTTTGACAATGCTAAAGACTATTTTAATCAGTTTCTCTCACCATATTTCCGAGAAAAAGGGCATAATACATGAATCTTCTTGTGTTAACACACCCCTACAAAATGGTGTGGCTGAATGAAAGAATGGTCACATTTTAGCTACTACAAGAGCATTCTTGTTTCAAAAAAATGTTCCTAAGCAATATTGGGGGGAAGCGGTTTTAACTGCTGCTCATATGATAAACAGATTGCCTACAAAGGTTCTTGATTTTAAAAGTCCTATGCAAATTCTAACAAAATTCTTTCCTAATTTCAATGCTTCAAGTAGTCTAGTTCCCAAAATATTCGGTTGTGTTGCTTTTGTCAATGTGCATTCTCAAAACAGGGGAAAACTTGATCCATGGGCTGTCAAATGCGTCTTTATTGGCTATTCTTCCACTCAAAAGGGGTACAAATGCTATCATCCTCCTACAAGAAAATTCTATGTGTCAGCTGATGTCACTTTTGTCGAAGAAGATCATTACTTTACTCGTCCTTATCTTCAGGGGGAAATCTCATTCACGGAAGATAAGGACAAGGATCTTTTTCTTTTTGATTTTCCATTGTCCTCCTCCTCGGTTCCTGTCTCTGTTGTCCAGCCAAACACTTAGTCCGTTCCTGTTAACACTCAATCCATTCCTGTTGATTAACCTGAGCTAGTCCAACCCGAGCCAAACATTCAGTCCGAATCCATACAACCTGAAACCGAGCCTCATACACCCAAGTCACAAGAGATGATAAAGGGAAAGCAAATTCAAGACTTTAATCGTCCATTGCTGGTTTTTTCAAGAAGAAGGGCACCAATCACTCAATCTGTGCAGGTCAATCACCCAAATCAACCCCTACTCTTGGACTTAGCGAGGTAATTACTGAACCTATTTCTAATGAATATGGTGTCACTGAAGTTCTTGATCAAAGTGATTATGATATTCCCATTGCTATTAGAAAGAAAACTAGAGCATGCACCAAACACCCTCTGTACTTATTCATGTTATACAAAGAATCTGTCCCATAACCATAAAGCCTTTCTCACACGCCTAAACACAATTTCCATTCCCAAAACTATATCCGAGGCATTAGGTAATAAGAATTGGAAGAATGCCATGAAGGTGAAAATTGAAGCACTTGGGAAGAACAAGACATGGGACTTGGGTGAAATTGCCGAGAGGGAAGAAACCGGTGGGATGTAGATGGGTATTCATAGTGAAATAAAAGTCAGATGGTTCGTTGGAGAGGTATAAAGCAAGGTTGGTTGCTAAAGGCTATACCCAAACGTATGGAATAGATTATCTTGAGACATTTGCTCTTGTTGCGAAGATGAACACCGTTGGATTGTTGTTGTCATTGGCTGCTAATCTGGGCTGGAAATTACATCAATTCAATTTCAAAAATGCCTTTTTACATGGTGATCTCAAGGAGGAGGTTTATATGGAAGTTCAACCGGGGTTTGGTTCGAATACAGGAGAGGTGGTATGCAGGTTAAGAAAGGCGTTTTACGGATTAAAACAGTCTCCAAGAGCTTGGTTTGGAAGGTTTGCCAAGGTAATACTCGATATGGGATACAAACAGAGCCAAGGGGATCACACCTTGTTTGTAAAGCACTCGGCTTCAGGGGGAGTGACTGTATTGTTAGTCTATGTAGACGACATTATAGTGACACATGATGATTTGGAAGGAATAGAGAATTTAAAGAAGTGTTTAGTGAAAGAATTCGAAATCAAAGAGCTCGGCAAACTAAAGTATTTTCTTGGTATTGAGGTAGCACATTCTCCGGAAGGAATTTTCATATCTCAGCAAAAATATGTAATAGATTTGTTGATGGAAACAGGCAAGTTAGGTTGCAGACCAGCAGAGACGCCTATAGAGTTCAACCACAGGCTTGGAGATGCTCTGGAAGACACGGTAGTAGATAAAGGCTCCTATCAGAGACTTGTGGGAAGGCTTATCTACTTGTCACGCACTAACCCAGACATAGCCTATGCAGTTAGTGTTGTAAGTCAATTCATGCACAATCCCAAAGAGTAACATCTTAGGGCTGTGTATCGAATCCTACAGTACTTGAAAGGTACACCGGGCAAAGGAATTCTATTTAAGAAGGGGGAGGAGCTAACTCTTGAAGCCTACACTGATGCAAATTATGCAGGGTCTGTAATTGACAGGAGATCTACCTCGGGTTATTGCACTTTTCTAGGAGGCAACCTTGTGACTTGGAGGAGTAAAAAATAGAAAGTTGTGGCAAGATCCAGTGCAGAAGCCGAGTTTAAGGCAATGGCACTTAGGATTTACAAATTATTATGGCTGAAAATTGTCTTAGAAAATCTAAGAGTCAAGTGGGAAGGTCCAATGAAGCTTTATTGTGACAATAAGTCAGCCATTAATATTGCACATAATCCAGTGCAACACGACCGTACAAAGCACATTGAGGTTGACAGGCACTTTATAAAGGAGAAACTTGACAGTGGCCTAATTTGCACTCCATTCGTTTCCACTAGCGATCAACTTGCAGACATACTCACCAAAGGATTGTCTGGGACAGTTTTTCAGAGACTAGCAAGCAAGCTTGGAATGGATGATATCCATTCACCAGCTTGAGGGGGAGTGTGGAAAATTCGGTTCTATAAATAAGGAAATCGCGTGTGTATAGCTGTAATTAGCTAGGAGATTTTGTAATGTTTTAGTCATTGTAATCCCTTATTTTAGGGAATCAGTTTTTTGGTCAATATCTCTAGAATTAGATAGTTTCCTAGTTTTAGAGTTTCCTAATTTAGATCCTCTGAAGTGTATATATTAGTGTAATTTCATTGTGATTTCAATACAATTGAATTTCAGTCCAATTTGTGTCAGTGGTAGTAAATGGTTTTAATGGGAATTAGTGTATGAAAGTTAGTGTGATGTTGAAGGTTACAGAAAATCAAGAGGCATGGGAGTTATACGAACTAAATACCATGTTAGTGGGAGTTAAGCCTAAAGGTTATGTTAGTGTGAGTAATTGGGCACTTAAATATAATTGTTACACATATATTCTTAAGGCCTATATATTCATGTACTCTAGCCAATTTTATAGGAGAAATAAGATGAAATAGATATTGTGTGTATCTAGGCCACTATTTCTAACAATGGTACCTTTCAAATCTGAAATCACTGAACCACAAAAGCCTACAACACCTTACCTCTCTTGCAAATCTGTACATCGAATGCTTCCCTAAGCTCTAGTCCTTGCCGGAAGAGGGGCTGCCCAACTCCCTCTCTTACCTGCAAATACGCAAATGTCCATTGCTGAAACGACATTGCCAATGGGACAAAGGGAAAGGTTGGCCCAAGATTTTCCGAATCCGCCAAATATAGCTTGCTGAGGAAGAAACCATCATAAACTTGGATTCCTCTGGTTTCTATTCTTGCAGGAGAACCCCCCTCATTTTCCTTCCACTCAGGTATGTACTTTGTTCTAAACACTGTAGTAGTACAACATCTATAGCCAAAGTTGTTACTTTCTTCAATCTATTAAATTCCCCCTCCCCTCCTTACTTTCCTTGCACTGTCAGCTGTTAGTTTCTTGGAGCACCTGGAAGAAATTCTGGCATCCAGGTCCAAGACCTAGCTTTTTTTTCTTTCTAATTGTACTTATTATGCTTCTTTTTAGTTCTTGTACTGTTTAGGTATTGCTAGTATGGTAAATTGTTTTCTTTTTCTTACCCAAAAATAAAATAAAATAAAAGATGGAAAATTGTTTCCTTATAAACTATAAAAAGTCCTTTTTTTTGTTTTTTTTTTTCCTCACAGTTTTCCATTACAACCAAACAAGACAAAAATAATGAAATACCTTATTAACTTCTTTATCTTTTCCTTTTCATTTCAGATTTTCAATTGATTCCCCAAAGAACTGCTAAACATCCAATTTTCTTCAAACTTGCACTCTTACCAGAGGGAAAATTTGATATTCAGTTAAGTCCGATTTTCAATACAATATTTGATCAAAATACTCTGAGCTTCTGACATGTTCACCCTTAATTTGAAAACTAAAAGGGACTATCCCGTGTCTTTGAACAGGTTTGGTGGGGATCAATGCTGTTTCTAATAGCTCAGTGCCTAGATTATGGATATTTAACAATGAATGCATGAAAATCAGCAGTGGAGAAGAAACTTTTAATAGTAATTCATATATTCTTTTCTGTCATAGTCTTTGTTGATGGTATCATTTATTTTGTTACTTCTACCAAGGAAATGCAGTTTGGCTTTTCTTTATAAAGTTAGTAGACCAAATCATCATGTTTTTCACTTGTGGAAATGGAAAATGTGTAACTGAATTGGCATTAAACTCCTTTCAATATTGCCAAAACATCACGTTCTGTTTGGGTTCAATAATGAATATCTTTGGAAGTTGCTACCTGTTTTTGTTTTGTCCATATTTTTCTTCTTATTTTCAATTTTCTTTTTCTTGGCGATTATAATGATTCTTCAACTTAAAAAAATATAGGTTTTAAATTTATTTTCTTCTATCAAAATCTTTTAAGTTGATAGACCATCTTCATGTATTGACTCTTTCCTAATTGTATGCTTTGCATAGGTTCATGTAATAAAACCACATAAGATACAAAAATATAGGCCCCTTAGATTTCCCTATTGCTCTGTATGATAAATTGTCTTCTTATCCTTACTATTCTTATAAGTTATAGAAGCCTATTTATTTATTTGGTTATTTTTTTGCCCTTCATACTTTATTTTCTTCTAGTTTTCCATCACAACCAAACAAGACGAAATAATGAAATACTCTATTAACTTCTTTATCTTTCATTTTTTTATTCCAGATGATCAATGGATTCTCCAAAGAAGTGCTAAACCTTTGATGTTCTTGAAACTTGCACCGTAACCAGAGGGAAACATTGAACTTAGGTAAATCAGAAGAAAGCCAGATCCATGAACTTCTCTCTGTTTCTCTTACATGAGCCACTCATGCACACACAGTAATTCTGGTTTGCATGGGTTATAACTTTTAATTTATTTGATACACTTCTCAGCAATGTTATTTACCAGGGGAAAAAAGTTCTCAACAACGTAGTAGATTGTGCCAAAAATAAACTTCCTAAGCTACGGGACATGTATCCATTCTGTTTGGGTTTATGTTGCAAGCAAATTGTCATTGTTCTAGCAATTGCAGTATATAAATATGTACTGGAAGAGAACCAAAACAAGATTCATGTCCCTTTAGAGCTCATATGGACCTAGGCATGACCTGAACTTTTGAACTCATTCAATATCATGATAGTGCAAATTTGAGTAACCTCTTTGGAACATATGCAGAATTCTTTCTGAACCAGACTTCCTCTAGATTGGTTTGAGTATATCTTTGGGGTCATTGTTTCGTTTAGTGCTAAAAGCTTGGCCTGACAAGCATGATATATGCCAGATTCTATGTTTGTCTCTAGTCGTTGCCTCCTAAAACCTTGCATAGTAAAGCTGACCTTTTTTATTCAACTTCATATTTCGGCATGGTGACAACGGCATTTGTAGGGGTGGGGTGGGAGGTTTTGGTTTAGCTCTTTTTCATAATTACCAGTTCTCCAGAAAATATATATATATATATATAAAATTATTACCTCAGTACTTTTACGCATTATTATCTTTTTATTTTCTAGTTTTTTAAATTCTTGTGGATACTTGCACAGGATATATTGACATGAGTGGACTATGATGTTGGAAAATTGATGCAGACTCACAAAATAGGTGTTTATATTTTACGAGCTTCACTCAGCTCGCCCTTGAAAAAGGGAAGTATATTTTACAAGCTGATTTCTACCCTTTTTAATACGGAGGACGACAATTACGAGCTTCATTCAGCTCGGGCCATTATAGTATGGGGCACTTTTATTTCAACTCCTTTTAATACGGGGAACGACGATTATGAGTTTCATTCAGTTCGCGCCTTTAATAAGGAGGTAGATTACAATCACATCACTCTCTCTTAAGAAGTCAAATAATTTTTTGATTAGTTGATAAACTCAAATAATCAAACCTAGAAGATTTCCAGGTGGAGTTGAATCAGCTTTAGAGGATGCCAACCATTAGTAAAAAGCAACCACTTTCCTCAAATTTCAATGTATAATAGCTCTGTACAATGTGCTATGCAGTGAAAGCATGGAACATGAGCAAAATTACAACTCGTGAGTGAGCAAAAAATGGAATCAGTATTTCAGAAAATTAAAAAAATGATTAGGAGGAAACAAATTGAACTATCCAAAATATACTTGGTCAATTGATGTCGTTCCTCCAGAATTTATGTATTTTGCATTGCCCCTGCTGCTAACCCATACAACAACCATATAAGCTCCCAATGGTTAATTACTATGGACTTGTTGTACAACATAATAGTTAAGTTGAAATTGTATTCTGCCTTAACGTACCTCAATGTGCCTCAACGAATTCAGGAATTACATCCTAATATTTGCTTACAAATTTCCCTGTGAAACATTTTTTTTTTTAAAACATTTTGAGTGCTTAAATTGAACTCATATCTCCCTCGAACATATTTTTCAGCCTTAAAAATTGCAAAACTGAACACGTTGGAGCAATCCTCTTCTCCAAGCTATATAAAAAAAGAATTGGATTTTTGCATCTGAACAGTCCAAAGATTTGAAATATTCCAATCTTGGATCTTTTGATCACATAAAAAGTATGACGCGTTATGGTTAAGCTTGGAATTTTCTCTTCACTAAAACCATAAGTTTTGAAAAGTTCAACAACTACAAGTGTATCAGTTTCAAGCAGACTGCATGATTTTTGAGCACTTTTACAAGTTTAGTGGCAGAAAAACCAGAAAGTCCTAAAGATTCAAACAACTCAATATTGAGTTTGAGAGTTTTATAGGAATCAACTAGTAGTATCGGAGAACGATTTTTAATTAGATTCTTTATATGGGTCTGAGTTGCATGGATTTTAAGACCGCTCAAGTCTGACCTGGTTGGTCAATTTTTTTTTTTTTTTTTTTTTTTTTCAACTTGAAGCATCTTAGAATCTTAAATGGCTTATTCAAAGGGGAACCCTCATGAATTTAATAGATATGTGGGTATGTTGAATTTGAACTACCCGAGATGGGAATGACTGATGAAGTTGAAGACAAAGATAAGGCACATGTAATTGGGGCTATATGCCTGATATAAAGAGGAAAATGATGTACTTCAACAATTTTGCTGGTGAATTTTTTTTTTGTTATCATATATATATATATATATATATATATATATATATTTGTACAACTAAGAATCTCAACATCTCTAAACTGCTTTCAATTATGTTATAAAACAGGAAATCACATATTTCCTATATAGTTACTGATTTCAAATTGTGTTGTAAAGATCTCTCAATTTAGGGCTAGATTTTTTTCTTTGTAATTTAATGAGATATGTAGATGGAGAGAGGATCAAAACAAAATTCATAAATCATTCCTGAAAACTCCAAACTTTGTTTCTAGTAATTCGTAAAATCAACAATCATATAGATAGTTTAAGTGTAAAGCATAATAAAGAGCAATATAACTTGATAGTTGATACCTTGAGAGTACTCAATCAATTTCTGTGGTTTGACTGAATGAGTGTCTTGTTGGAGTTTTCTTGTACACTCATTATGGTGTGGGGAACCCTATATTCGGTGTCAACCATAATTTTTTTGGAATTAGTACATCATTCCCACAGACGGCGCCAACTGTTGATGCAAGAATTTACATGCTCCGGAGTGGGTGGCGATTCCTGCAAGACAAGAAAAGTAATGAACCTTGACAACACCGGTGTGGTGCTTGCCAAGAGCTCTCCGATGTTCAAGTTAGTCAATGGAGCTCTGAAATAATAGTAAGACTTAATATATTCATTATCCCATCCCTTTCAAGTCAATTATTTACCTTCTTATAGAAGATGGTAACTGTTGTTACATATGGTAACCGTCAGAGGAGATGGTAACTATCCTTACATATGGTAATCGTAAGAGAGATTTTTTATGATTCCATAGAGATTTTGGAGATTTATCCTTACCCTTATCTCATTTTTCATTTGACTTTGAGTTGCCTATTATTTTTATCCTTATCAAATAGTGTTAGCTCCCCAACAGAGTAGTCTACACTAGGTGATTTTAGAAAGGCTAAACATAATCGAGAATCATTATATATATATATAGACAAGGCATTGTCTTAAGAGATATGGAAATGATGGGATTTGCAGGCCAATAGTAATAATAAACTTCGCCAACCGAATAAATTATTGGCGTATTAGTTATCCAATTTTTCATGTGCAGTGGTTAAAGGACCCACATATTATTTTAATAAAAGTGCTCGCCTAATAGCAAATGAATCTTAACAATAATAATAATGAACTCCTCCATCAGGATAAGTTATTGACGTATTAACTGTGTGATATATTATGCTACGAAATTGAGGGACCTACATTAATTAAAAAGGATTGTTTACCAATAGTGATAATGAATTCCTATACTATTGAAATTTATTATACTATGTGGTTGACAAACTCATTTTAATTTTAAATATACATGATAGTATTAATAATTCATCTTTTGTAATACCCCTAATTTTAAAAGGATAGTCTCGATATTTTATTTATTATTTTATTTGATTTTGTGTGATTAATTGCGTATTTGCTTAATTATTTAATTGTTTTATTATTTGATTTGATTTAACTGTTTATTTGTATTTAATAATTATTTAATTTTTTTTATTTAATTGGTGATTTAACTGTTTAATTGTGTATTTAAATTACATTACATGATTCATTGTTTTAATTGAATTTAAATGTTTTAATTATTTAACGTGGCTTTGTTAATTGGTCGCACACATAATTACAAGTTAGGCTTTTGTTTTATGGGCCGAGTAAGTCAGTTTAGGGTTTGATATGTTTCACGGTTAGCCGACTAGTTGTTATTTAGTTTAGGTT